ACTCTGGAGCTGCTTCATTTATAAAAGAGGATTTTGAAAACCAATATTGTGTAGCACTCTACAGTTTACATAGTACATATTCTATAGTACAGCGTCTCTTATAACAGCCTTGTGAGATAAATAATGTTATATACGTGGTGAATGAATTGAGGCCCAGTGTGTTAAGTGACTTGCCTGTTCTCTTAGTAAGTGCAGAGTTGATATTCATTCCTTAATTCAGAATAAACAACAACAAAAAATCAATTACTTGTTGTATGCTAGTACACTGTTCTGGCATGCACACAGAATATATATGAAGATAAAATCCTTCCTTGTAAGGAAAGCACGTAAGGAGAGACACTCAAATAACCAGTGTATTCAAGTAACTGTGCAGTATGATAACATATTGGGGTAAGTATAGGCTGATATAGCAGCATTCTTTACAGACTTGAGGAGGTTGGGGGACAGGATGGGGGTTAAGGAGATTTTGTTGGAGGAAGTAACTCCCTTAGGGTGGTCTGAAGGGCAAACAGAAATAGGCGAAACTGAGGAAAGGTTTTCCTAGGCAGAGAGAACAGAATGGAGAGAATTAGAGATGTGGCAAGGAATTTATAAGTGGCTCCTTATGGGTAGAGTGCTGACTACAGGAAGTATATTGACCAGAGATATTGCTAGAGGAATTAGCAGCAGTCATGTAAGGTCTGAAGTGTTATGCAAAGGAAGTAGGTCTTGTCCTCAGAACACTGGGAATTGTATTTACAGGTTTTAAGGTCATGATCAAATAACCTACTTTTAGAAACAGCACTCAGGCTGCATAAGAATTATTGGATTATTTGTGGACACAAATAGGAGACTGCTTTGTAACCCAGAAGAGAGGAAACGGTGGCCTGAACTAAGGCATTGTGAGAGAAATTTCTGGCTTTTGAGCTATTAAAGGGAATTTTGTTATTTTTAAATATATTTTTTAATAGATTTCAGAGAGAGGGAGATAGAAACATCAATGATGAGTCATTGATCGGCTGACTCCTGCCTGCCCCCTGCTGGGGATTGAGCTTGCAACCTGGGCAGTGCCCTGACCAGGAATCAAACCTCAGTCTAAAGAGTATTTTATTTATTTATTTTTAAAATATATCTTTATTGAATTCAGAGAAAGGAAGGGAGAGAGAGAGAGAAACATCAATGATGAAAGTCACTGATCGGATGCTTCCTGCACACCCCCTGCTGGGGACCAAGCCCGCAACCCCAGGCATGTGCCCTGTCCAGGAATTGAACTGCGATCTCCTGGATCCTAGGTCGATGCTCAACCGCTGAGCCACGCCAGGCCAGGCTAAAGAATTTGAAAAACTTGTTGTAGTTAAGAGTATAGACTCTGTAGCCAGAGCCCCGCTGTGTTCAAATCTTTTTTTGCTACTTACTAAACATATAATTGTGGGCACATTACTTAACTATGCCAAAATTTACTCATCTGTAGTAACAATGGCTACTTCATAGGGGTCTGGTGAAGAGTAAATGAATACTGGTAAAACCCTTAGAACAATACTTGACACATAAGGACTGAAAAAGCACTCACTTTCAAAAAACTAATGCTTGAATAGATACAGTAGATAAGAGAGAAAGTAGAATCAAAGGTAACTTCTCGTGCTCAGATTTGAACTGGGTGAATGTGTTATTTTGAAATAAGAAAACGGGTGGTTTTGGTGGGTGAGGAATGATGAATTCACTTGCTAGAAAGGTTCCATTGGAGGTATCTGTGGGACATCCATGTAGACATGCAGCCTATGGCACATTCAGTATCTCAGGAAAGATATCTAGGCAGAAGTAGGATCTGGGAGTCATTAGCAAGCCTTTGGTATTTGAAGCCATCAGAGAGACTGAGATTGCCCAGGAAGTGCCTATAAAGTGAGGTGGCTCAGGGCAACCACTGGCTTAGTAGGCAGTGGATGGAGCTCAGGAGAGAATTGAGCTCTGATTGTCCATATCTAAAGCTCATGCCCTTTCTATTAGACCACAGGCAGCTTCTATAAATATTTTTACACTTGTGTGAGCCACAAGAATTGAGCAAGCATTTGATCCCCTACTCTGTGTCAAGCTCTGAGTATACCTCAGTGAGCAAGACAGGCAAGAGAAAATGGAGGATACAGATAGCTAAGTGCTGTGATAGCTACAGAAGCACCAGGAGCACCAAACCCAGATGTATGATAGAGCAGGGGAAGGCTTTCTGAAAGAAGTGGTATCCAAACTAGATTTTGAGTTAGCTAGGGAATAGCACAAGGTCCCAGGAAGGCAAAAGGAAAGTATTTATCCTTTCTCCTTGAATTTCCATGGAGGGAAATTGAGAGAAGAGGCAGCACATTTGGGTAGTAGTATCTGTGCTTAGCTCATGAACGTACTAGTCTGTGCGGGATAACCGAGTGTTTGGGTTTCCCTCCAGGTGAGGCAGTCCCAGCCCATTGCTGTATCCTGTCTGCCTGCAGCCCCTTCTTCACAAAGCGCCTGGAGCAGGAGAGGCCAGCACAGGGTTGTAAGGTGGTGCTGGAGCTGGGGGGCCTGAAGATCAGGACACTTAGGAAGCTGGTGGACTTCCTGTATACCTCAGAGATGGAAGTATCTCTAGAAGAAGCCCAAGATGTGCTTTCTGCTGCTCGTCAGCTTCGCATATCTGAGCTAGAATCCCTTCAGCTAGAGGGTGGGAAGTTGGTAAAGGCCCCTCAGGGCCGAAGACTGAACAGGGAGTGCTTACAGCCTCCAAGTGCTGCACCAATCTCTGCCAGGGTGGTGGCATCCAGCCACTGCCCTACTCCACTGCCTGTTACCCAGACTCCCTGTCCTCTTGGGGTAGTGCGATTGAAGTTATCAGGGAAGGATGAGGGGCCCCAGGACAAGAGCAGCCGACAGAATGCAGAGAATTCATCTGGAACTCTTCTGCTCAAGAGGAAGGCCAGAGCCTGCGTAGCTCCACAAGGTGAAAGCTCTTCACCATCAAGCCACAGTCAGGGATCTAAAGAGAACAAAAGTGACCCTGCCCTTGGTCCTACAGAGCTCTCCCCACCCAGCTTGTACCCCTCTGTGGATAAGCGACTGTTACCCAGAAAGATCAGGCTGAGTCGTTCAAAGCCATCACCTGATGGCTGTACATCCAAGCCTTCCAGCATTTTAAGAGGACCCAGCTCAGTACCAGCAGCCCCTGGTCGGCGTCTTTGGCGACAGAAGAGTATAAATAAAGAAGTGCTAGAAGACAAGCATAAACCAGGGAGAGCTAGTCCTCTACAAAGCACCCCAAGCCCATCTGGTCTTGGAAAGATAGGTGGGAGTAAGAAGTGGAGCCCTGAAGTCAGGGCACCTAACTCAGACTCTGCAGAGGAGGGGCAGGTTGGGAGAGTGAAACTTAGGAAGACTGTCAATGGGACCTGCTGGGAGGTGGTGCAAGAGCCTCCCATCAAAATCTCTAAAGGTAGCCCTCATGTCCCAGAACCTGGAAACTTAGAAGAGCCTCCAGGGATTCAGCCATCAGTTAACCGGCAGGAAATGTCATCTACTAGAGTAGACCTGTGTCAGGACTCCCCAGTGTGCTCTAGGCTACAAGACATTCTGCTCTCTGCTAGCTGCTCCCCAGACCACCCAGTGTTGAAGTCTGAGTTTGGGTCCAGTCCAGAGATGGTAGGGAAGGAACCTGGGTTCAATATTGACTGCACAGAGCCATATGCATTTGACACAGCCCTGCTGGAGCAGCCCTGTGAAGCCGAGGAGTACCGAATCACCAGTGTTGCTGCCACCAGTGAGCTGGAGGAGATCCTGGACTTCATGCTATGTGGCTCAGACATTGAACCACCTACAGTATCTCTGGAGAGTCCCAGGGCTGAGGGCTGTAGGACCCCTAGTTATCACCTGACAGAAACAGGAAAGAACTGGATCGAGGGGGAAGAATGGTATTTACCAGACATGGAACTCTGGCCCCGGGAGCTCACAGGATTGGAAAAGGAACCTGTTGGTGAGAACAAAGAGCCAATTGAACCCTTTAGCCCCTTTGTTATGCCCTCTAAGATTAGTGAAGGCGAGGTGCTTTCAGTAGGACACTCTTGGACTCAAGACCAAGAAATTAGCAGCTCCCAGCCACCTGACGGTCAGAGAGACAAACTTCTCCATATTGACTCCCTTGATACTCCCCAAAGGTCCCTTGGGGAACTCTCACCTCCCTGTTCTAACTGGGTGGAGACTGGGCTGGAAGTGTCCCTAACTATGGAAGAGGTGTTATACCCTGTTCCAGAACCAGGCAAGGAAGTACTTAGCAACTCAGAGCTGGCAGACCCACTTCCTGCCAGCCCTGAAGAGGAAGAGGTTGATGTGGTAGACTGGACATCGGAGGGGAGGCTGGTGTCTACCAGTGTTTCCTCCATATGGCCTGACCCTTCCTCAGAGTCAGAAACAGAGGTAGACATACTAACCTAGGGGAGTAGGGAAGGCAGTTAAGGGCTACTTAGTAGGGAAGGCAGTTAAGGGAAATGTTGGCTAGCAAAAGTGGTACTGGCAGAGAATAGCACGTCTGTCCTCTTAGCACAAGAGGCAGACATACCCCTTGCGCTCTGTAAATCCCACCCTCCCCTTCCCAGGTTTTGGGAGTTGGGCAGAAGTAAAGTATTACCACGAGTAGAAAATTATGAACTTGAACCACCTTAGTTTCTTATAACCTACTTTCCAGTGACAAGTAGAACAGTAAACTGTGTGGTCTCCAACTCTAGTGGGTCATAGGTAACAGCCAAGGCTAGGTCTCCCAGGTTATGCAGCACCGCTGATTCAGAAAAAATTAAGTACACCCTCTGCAGTAGTTCCATGTCAGAAAATGTTCCAGAAGGTGTGAAGCCGGGCTGGGGTGGAACATGAAGTGGATGGGAGTGATGGGAAATTGTCTAGTACATTATGTGTGGGGTTTATTCCAGTATGGGAAGTCTAGCCAAAACCTCTGCAGGGGCCAGGAAGAAGTACTTTCATCATTTCCAAGAAGTGAGTTGAAAAAGATACAGTTGCTTTTTTAAAAAAAAGTATTTTCCCCCAAAAGTTTTTACAAGTATTTCACATGCGAGTTTCAGGTTAATTAGTGACTTCAGGCTATGAAAAATACATGGGGGACCAATCCTGTAAGGCTGGCTTTCGTCCCTTACCATAAAATTAAGTTTTACTTTATTACTCAAGTACTTTATTTCAACTTTTATTAAACCAAATCCAAGTACTTTCCAATGCCTTACTAGAGTGTTGCCTCACAACTGAACCATCAATTCTGGAGGAGAAGAAACCACAGCTTCAGGCACATGACTGGAGTTTGGCCATGTCCCGTCATAAATGCTCCAACATCACCAGGGACAGAAAGCTGTGAAAAAGAAAAAAAAAGTTAGAAAAGGGATCCAGGCAATCATAGAGCTTAAGGAAGATGTGCTCCCCATCCTTGAACCCAAAGACTCAGGAGAGCTCAAGGATTGCATTCTCCTCCCACATCTGAACGTATCAGGTACTTAACCACATGTCGAAGCACTGTATGAAGCACTAGGTATGAAGACATGGTGAAATTTGAGTTTGGAGAGTACAGTAATGAAGTGTTACCACATGAGACTATTAACAGAAAGACCCTACTAGGAAGAAATAACATAAGAGGGTTGGGGTAAGTATATATGAAGCTACACAAAGATTTTTGCCAATAAAAGGGGAAATCACAACCCATAAAATAAACACGTGTCAGTGATTGTTTTAACTCATAAGTGAGGGAACTAGTGGGATTTACAATCACTTAAAAAGAATCAAAACACTTGCCATCAGGGATGTGGAAAATGAAATTTTTAACAAAACCGGCCCATATCCCCAGGGCAATAATTAACTGCATCTTCAAAGGACGTAAATTGCATTTCTATAAGTCACTTACAATACCATCAGTTCTAAAACTTAGCTCAAAGACAATGAAATGAAACATGGGAGTTAGCAAAAGGCACACTAGATAGAAAACAAAATTTGCTGATCTCAGTTTTTCCTACCACCAAAAAGGGAAAGAGGTATTCCCAATACAGGAAATACTGAGAACAGAGAGTTATAAAAAAAATGTAGCTCCTGTGTGTGTCAAATGAGTAATAGTAAGGACTGTTTCGCAAATAGCCACACCAAGATCAAACCAATCCCTCCCGACCCCTCGCCCCCAGTTCAAACCTCAGCATGAGGATTTCGGCCCAAACCTACGAAAGGTACTCCTTCAGCTTCACCACCACCACCTGCGGCTCAGGGAACTTGAGTTTGCGTGGGGGCCCCTTCTTAATCCCAGTCCAGAGCTCCGCACCTGCGGAAAGACCGGAGGAAGCGAAGTTACTGTCTCCCCGCCCCCCTGTGAGACCAGCCTCCCTCTCCTCGGACCCATGCCCTCTTCCCAGACCCGGGTCCCCACTCACTGCTGCCGTCCGGGCGCAGCAGCGTCACCTCGAAGCTGCCCCTCCGGGGCTTGGCCGGGTTCACCCTCACTGGAAGCTCCGGGGCCTCCAGGCGCAGCGCCTGGCTCAGGGCCGCGGCGTTGCGCCCGTACACGCGTCAGCTGGTGCTACGGAGAGACCAGGGAGGGTCAGAGACCAGGGTCCTGGGTGTGCAATGCCCTTGCCCGCCTCCCCGTGACTCTCCAGGCCCCTCACCAATGTTCGATAACGACGGTCGCCTCCTCTACTTCCTTCTGGCTGCCAGCCAGCTTCTCCTGCTTCTCAGCTGCAGCAACCACCGCAGCCTCGGCCTTCCGCTTCCTCCCGCGGGAAGCCATGGCGCCTGCAGGCCGGCCGGGCCCGGCAACAGGGTGGAGACGCGGCCACCGAGTAGTGGACAGCCCCTCTCCGAGCTCCAAACCGCGGGCCAAACACTCCGCTCCCAGAACAAAACCTCGCCCAAGCAGCGGAAATCGTGGCGCCGACGCACACGCGGCCGGGGGCGGGACCTCCGGCCGCAGCCACTCCGCAAGGAGGGTGGGGGGAGCCAAGGGGAGCACCGGCCTGACCGCCTGCGCCCGGGGTCGCGCACAGCAGGGGCGGGGACTACGAAGCTCTAAAACCATGGTTTCCGGTGTTCCCGAAGCCGGAAGAGCGGCTACAGCGTTACGAAGTCGACCCCCATCCCTCAAAACCTCCTCCCTGGGACCCGCGGCCCAGTCCCGAACCAAGCCTAGAACCTAACATGGTGCGATTGGTACTCTGGGTTTGCAGAAACTGGCCTTCCCCTACTCTCCCCAGTCATGGGAGCCAACGACTGGCATTTGGTGAAATTAATGAAAATGGCCTTTGGAGTTCGGCAATTCCTTTGCAGTTGCCTGGCTTTTTAATACCTGAGGAACACACTGAGGGGCAAACAAAAGGAAATCCCAGTCTCTTTATTATGGAAAACCATCAACTGGGTGTGGGAGAGTAGGTAGGAGGGTAAGTGAAACCCTAATCCTGCCCAAGGACTTCTCCAGGCCCCACCCCACAAAGGAAAGGTCTCAAACTTCTATTCCCTTTTCTCCCTCCTAACCTCCCAACCTCCATAAAATAAGTTACTGAATACTATCTTCAGTGAGAAAACTGGTTAAAGGTTTGCCCTTGGGACGAGTGACAGAGGTTTATTTTTAATGAAGGCCAGAAGGGCCTAAAGAAGCAAGGGTCCTTGAGGGAACATTTTTAGTGCACTCTGTCCCCCAGCATCTTATGTTAGGTTCAACCTACTGTAAATAGTCTGTGTAGGTCCACTAAGGAATACTGAAACCGCAGCATGGTGGAGATGTGTGAGTAGTGGGCAGTAGTGACACACTGACCCAAGCTGGGAGGGAAAGAATTTCCTCCTCCATTACATAAGATCTCTCCCTTCCTCCAGTGAAATAGTTGGCCACAGGAGTGGTCTTCCTGAAGTGTGCCTGTCAATCCTATGGATGCCGCTTTAAAACCAGAAGCAGCACCCTGCCCCACTCAGGCACAGCCAAACAGGGAAAAACATAAATAAAAGGCGAGGCCTCAGGCAAGGCTGTGGTTACAGAAGTGGCAGGACTTCAAAGGTGCCTGGGATTGACCAGAAGGAAGCACTAACAAAGCAGGGAACCTATTTGTCCTTCTTGCTTTCCCCATCTGGCACTGCCGTGGGGGTTTGAGCCACAGACTGCTCCTCGGGAACATTATCTCCGGCCTTCCATTGCTTCTTGGCCCGTTGATAGAGTTCATTCAAGCTGAATTCTCGGATCACGTTCTCCTGCACAAAAGAGATGCACAGGTCAGGTTGGAAGGGAGAGTTCAGAGCCTGGGATGTAAGAAGTATTTAGGCACAACCTAGGAAAAGATGACGCAAAGGATAGAAATCTACTCTAACCTAAATCTCTTTTATGGGTCCCTGAAAAGTCAACTATTATTTAGGTACCTATTATGTGCCAAACACTGTGCCAAGAATTATAGCTCCATTATTTAATATAATCAGCAAAACAACCCCGAGAGGCAAGTGTTTCTGTCTCCAATTTACTGCTAAGGAACCTAGAACCTACAGACTACAGATGCAGGGCCTTTAAGACTGAATCTTGCCCAGGCAGTGGCTCAGTTAAGCATCAACCCATGAACCAGGAGGTCACAGTTCAATTCCTGATCAGGGTATATGTCTGGGTTGCGGGCTCGATCCCCAGTAGAACACCTGCAGGAGGCAGATCAATGATTCTCTCTCATCTTTGATGTTTCTATCCCTCTCTCCCTCTCCCTTCCTCTCTCTGAAATCAATAAGAAAAAAACATTTTTTAAAAAAAAGACTGAATCTTAACAACTAATAATTCCCCAGTACTAGCAGGTCTGGCACATGGTAGAAGCATAATATAAATTTGCTGAGTGAATACAAAAATGAGATCTAATAACTAGTCTACACTCTCAAATCTTGTGGGCAAGTGGCAGAGCTAGGAATTGAACTGTTTGGGCTCCAAAGCCCACCCACTGTCCCATATGCTTCTCCAAACCACCTGCCCACTCTTTCCTGTACCTCAGAGAAAGTCCAAGAGACAGCTCGTCCTTTCTTGTCAATCTGTGGCCGCCGCATGACCTCCTTGCCACCTTGGAACAGGATCAGGGTAGGAAGCTGCTTGGTGAGGGGGGATATGCTCACTCTGTACCTACAGAGCCCAGAAAGTACTCTATAAATGCATCTGTGTACATCACTCAAAATGACTCCCTGTTTAGATCCTCTACCCAGGCCCTTACATACCGTGTACTAACATCAGTGTAGCGTCCAACGTCCACCTTCCCAAAATTTAGCCCTGTACAGTTGTACCTGAGAATATATTATTTAATATAGTGTAAGAAGCGAGAATGGATCAGGGAAGTGGAAGTACAGCTATTGGAGGGGATGCCTTTGGTTGCAATGTGCAAAAATCAAGGCCAAAAACAATGAGAGGGAAGGTACAGTTCTCAATTTCCATCACCCTTCCCTTTGCACTACTCACTTGAGGGAGAGATCAGCGTAGATTGGAGCAAATGATTGGCAGTCACTAGACCAATTGGCAAAGAACTCAACAATCCAAGTGACCCTCTTGTCCCGCTCTAGTTCTTCCTGCCACACACAGGGAGGAAACAGTGAGCTGGATCACACAGGCTCCTGGAAAGGTTCAGACCTTAGCATCTAATTCCTCATCAGGGCTTTCCCTCTCCACCTCCCTTAGCTCCCATGATGAACCACAGTGCCCTTGACTTCCATCCTGAAGCACAGTTGCTCCTTCTAGTGAGTAGGGTGCACAACTACAAAATTACCCACAAGGGACCCAAAAAACAGGAGGCAGGATGAACACTCACATCAATGGTTTTATCGTTGAAGTACTTGATGTACTCAGGGCCCATGTACAGGGGAGGCTTGCACGTCATCAGGAACACTAAACACAGTAAAAAAGACGTTGGAGGAAACATAAGGCCTTGGGCAAGGATTTGCTTTCCAACTAATTCAAAGGCTTCAAGCACCAAAGAACACATTTCGAGGGCATACACAGACCACTGACACATTCCCTTCCTGTTAAAATAAAGTTTCTGTAGAGTCTTACCATCTGAACCACACACATAATTAATTAGGAACAGATATGGAAGAAGACTATGGAGAAACTGGTTTGTATTTGGTTCCCACAACCAAGTCTTGTAGTCCCCTTACCTATGCAGAGTATGATGTAAAGCAGGCCCATGGCAATATCCAGGCGGAAGAAAAGAATTGCATTGGCCACTTTACTGAACATGAAGATGTTGCCTATATGTTGCTCCACAGTGACTGAAACACAAAGATGTCACAGGTCAGGCTGGGTGCATGTTCCAGCATCTCATTCTTTGTCCCTCTTCCTGGAGTACTTTGAAACGGCAGAGGGGAGGGGATAAAAGTCCAACATCAAATTCAGTGTTGGCATGGAATGAGGGGCTAGTACAGTCAATAAGGCCCCTCACATAACATGAATAAAAACACCTCTGGAAGGCTTTAGGCCTACCCTTGGGAGACAGAGAAACAGGCTAACTTACTGGACCTGCGGTTCTTCATCATCACGATGGCACTGAGAAACATCAGGATCTCTACTTCTCTCTGCAACAGAATCAAAGTGGCAGAAATGCCATCAGCAGAGAGACTTTGGGTGGGTAAAGGAGCCAAATATGGAACAAAAACCAACAGATATCCAAACGGGGAATGGTAACAATAAATAAATGGAGTCGGCTAAGGTGTAGTGGTGAAAAACACCAGATCTAGGTTCAAGTTCTACCCCTGCCACAACCTGGCTGGCACCTTTCTGTGAATCAACCGCTGAGCTTTTGTTTCCTCCACTGAACAACATCTATTTCAAAATGCTATTGTGAAGATTAAATGATAATGAATATTAAAGAGTTGTCTAAAGTATGGTATGGTATAAAACTGTGAGAAAGTATAACCAACTCTGTGACCGTAGGAAAAGGAAACTTTTCCAGGGAGACTTTCTCAGTAATATTCCACTCATACAATATATGGTTATTTCATTTGTTTGGTTTTGCTTAAGTTAAATCATTCCTCTCCACCCAATATTCACAGTGATAATCCATGGGCCTTTAATATAATTTGAGAGCTGAAGGAGGCCTTTCAGAGCTCCCAAAGTATCCTTGTTTTAAGTATCCTTGGCTTACAGCTCTTTCTCACATTCTAGAATGTACGCTCCACATGAACAAAGTGAGATAGACAATGAACATGACAAAGAAACAAACAAAATAATTTGAAAAAGTAACAACTGCAATGAAGACTAACAAGGCCCATGTGAGAGTAAGCACAGGAGGAGGGCAACTATAGATTAGATTGTCTGAGGCCTTCCATTCCTTTCTGTTTTTAATACAGAGGCCAAATCATCATGTCAGACAGAACCAATCAACTGTGATTTACAGCTAGGAGTCAAGAACATGCAAGCAAGATCCACACACTGCCTTTGGCTGATGTGATTCTTTGGTCTTCCATAATCCCTAAAGGATTCCTGACTCTTCCTTTTTATTCTGAGCTATTTATCTGTTGAAGACACTGAGTCAGTTGTACTGTTAACTTCCCTACTTTCTGGACTTGTCTCTTGCATCCTCATGGTATTTGTTCTGATGATCTTCAATCTCCCATATTTCTTGTAAAGTGAGAATGAAATTTAGAGGTTTGAATACAATGAAATCCAAATCTTTTGCCAAAAATACATCATAGGTGGTGCTTGATATTCCCTATTACATCCCTTCAGAGAGCATATCAACCTTTCATCTGATGGTTTTAGCATCCACAGATGATCATTGCCTAGATTTATTATTTCATTAGGGGTTACTAAATGATATTTAAGTTCTATCATCCTTCTGTATTAATTAGCTCAAATTCTTCTATTAGGAAATCAACATTCCCTTACTAGTTTAAGCTGAAAAACAGTATATACAGTAAAAGCAAAAGCCTTCTTTCCTTTTATTTAAGAAAACAGAAATAAGCTTTTATACTCTGTTAAGCCACTGAAAATTTGAGGTTTACCTGTTATTGATAACATTTTTTACCTTAGCTTCCCAATCACCAAGGTAAATCAGTAAAACATAGATTTTCCAGGAAAGCACTGGCGGTGAACCCATAGTAGAGATGCTTCATGACTCAAGATGAACCCAATAAACCCATCACTAAACTTGAAAATGTATTTAACACTACACTGTAGAGTACTGGTTGTTCACCCCAGCATTATGAGAGAGTATCATAACGCATACTGCTAGCCCAGGAAAAGATCTACATTCAAAATTTGAAGTATGGTTTCTACTGAATGTGTATCGCTTTAACATCATCCTAAAGTTGAAAAATCATAAGTCAAACCATCGTAAGTCAGGGACCATGTGTAGCTAAAACAAAATTTATCAGAGTAATAATAAAATATAAAACTTTCCAATATTTTGCATATCATTAGACAAGAGTATACAGAGAAACTATGTAAAATAGCCCTACACTTATTAAAATCTTTATTACTATCCACTTATGTTTTTGAGTCCCATTTTGGTTAAAGTGGTATGGAATATCAGATAAAAATAGGATCTTTTGAAGTAGCATGGCTACACTTAAGTAAATTAACAATACTGTCTGGAGGTGGCCAGAGGAAGTATTAAAGAGTAAACAAGGGATGAAAGACAAAAATAAGGGAGTGGGTTCTGGTAAAGACCAACACTCATTTTTGGAAAAAAGACCAAAAGTCAGGATGACCCTCCTTCCTCAACATAAATGCTGCTATATACAGCTGAGAGCAGAGCTTCAACTCATTTGTCCCAGTGGTCCCTGCACCCCTACTGGGGAAGTACAGCAAGCAGCTTGAGGTAGATTTATGATGAATTTTTTACAATTCCTTTTAGATAGGTATAACAATTTTATTTATTTTTGCACTCTCAGGATGCAGCATAGTTTCTAGCATATAGCGAGCACTCTGGAAATGTTAACTGAATTAAGAAATGTGTGAGCCCGTCCGGCGTGGCTCAGGGATCGAGCATTGACCTATGACTCAGGATATCACGGTTCGATTCCCGGTCAGGGCACATGCCCAGGTTGCGGGCTCGATCCCCAGCAGGGNGATCGAGCATTGACCTATGACTCAGGATATGACGGTTCGATTCCCGGTCAGGGCACATGCCCAGGTTGCGGGCTCGATCCCCAGCAGGGGGCGTGCAGGGGGCAGCTGATCAAGGACTCTCATTATTGATGTTTCTCTCTCCCTCCCTCTCTCTGAAATCAATAAAAACATATTTTAAAAAAAAGAAAGAAAAGAAATAGGTGATAAATGTGTAGGTACTATGGCCTGGAGCGGGGTTTCAAATCCTAGTTGTGTGACCTTGGACAAGTCTCCTAATCACGCCGAGATCAATTTCTTCACCAATAAAGGCAATATTATTACTTGTCTCGTTTATCTCACTGGCTCCGTGAGAGGCTTCACATACGAGCGGCACTGATAAAGACGGTACACACGCGGAGAGTTTGGGAAGGGCTGTTGTGCAGGCTAACCGGGTTTTCCATCTTAATTAAACTCAGGGTTTAGCCTCGATGACACGCCAGGCTCTATAATGGTGAGTCCGCGACAGGCTCGGAACCGCGGGGTGTTCTCAAAAAGGGGAACCTCGCCCCCCCCCCCTCCATGCAACCGCAGGGGAAGGGGCCGTCAAGGTCGCGGGGTCTAAGGCGGGGGTCGCTCACCCAATCAAAGTCACACGGGTTGCCGTCTTCGCGCTGCGTGGGGAGGGTGTGACAGAGCGGGGGCAGCTTCCTCACGAGTAGGAAGGCAGCAGAGAGCAGGGCTGAAAAAAGGTAGTAAGGTTGGGCCAGCCATCGTGAAAGGCGCGGCACCGAATACACCAGAGCAATCAAAGGCGCCAGGACCGCCATCTTCCTGGCCAGGCGCCACTGGCCGCTCGCAGCTGCTGGGAGGCCTGACCCCGCCTCTCCGCCATCGGGACTGCCATTGGGCCGAGTCTCGGACGCACCGCCTCTGGACCCAGCAGTAGGTTTCTGATTGGACGCCACCGTAAGGAAGACCTGGAAAAGGGACGGGATACTTTATTGGCCAATCTAGCCGTCGCTTTTTCCACCTAAGTCATTTTATTGGCTATGCGAGTGTGGCTGGAGAATAAACTTAGATAGTACTTCCTGTACGTAATCATTCAGCGACGGTAGTAGTTGCCGGATCAAGGTAGGCGGGGCCAGAAGCATCCAATGATAAGCGGCTGATGGAAGAAGAGGGCGGTACAGCGGGAAAGGATTGTCCAATGAAAATCACTAGCGCCAGACACCTGGACGGCGCCGGGGCAGAAGGAAAGATGGAGAATTTCACGGCGCTGTTTGGAGCTCAGGCTGACCCACCCCCACCCCCAACCGCACTCGGCTTCGGACCAGGGAAACCTCCACCCCCGCCTCCCCCTCCTCCAGGCGGGGGACCCGGCACGGCTCCGCCCCCTACCGCGGCCGCGGCCCCTCCGGGTGCCGAGAAGTCGGCAGCTGGTTGCGGTCCCTTCTACCTAATGCGGGAACTGCCAGGTGAGTGCTAGGCCTGGCAGAAGCGAGCCAATGAGTTCATCACGGGGGTGATGGGCGTGGTTCTTAGCCGGCTGGCCGACGTGCAAGGTAACCTAGGCAACTCGTGCCAGGACCTTGGAGCTCAGAGTTAGCCTTTGTGTAACGAGTTTGAGGAGATGGAAATCAAGAGTCATTTTGGACATGTTTAGGCTCCAAAATGCCTTTTAGTTCATCCCAAGCCCTACTGCTACATCGAGAGTAGAGGGGCACAGCCGGGCGTGGCTCAGCGGTTGAGCTTTGACCAAGAATCCAGGAGATCGCGGTTCGATGCCCGGTTGCGGGCTCAGTCCCCAGTCGGGGGACGTGCAGGAGGCAGCCGATCAATGACGACTCTCTCATCATTGATGTTTCTGTCTGTCTCCCCCTCTCCCTTCCTCTCTCTGAAATAAAGATATATTAAAAAAAAAAAAAGTAGAGGGAACTAATACTGGATATTGGTACAGTAATTTGAAGTTCACAACGCAGTTATATACGTAATAGAATTTAATACATAGAATAGCCCCTTGAGGTAGGTATTGTTATCTGCATTTTATAGTTGAAAAAACTGAAACAGGGAGGTTGGCTTTCCTTTGGTTGATTAGTGATTGATGTGTGCCACTAACCTTACCTATTCTGATAGTACCTATGTATATCAGTCAGTTGACATGTTAAATATCTGTTTGGGGCAAATGCTGAGTGTATAGGAAGAAGGTGGGAGGACACACCGTGAGAAGAGGAACAAGACTGATAAGTCTGGTCCTTGCTTTTAGGGAAGTTATTTTAGTTAGGGTTGCCAAGTATGCGGTTTAAGTATAGTAACCATATTTCTCGTCAGGGCCAATCTCATTACTTGGTGGTCATGCCTCACATACAACAGAATCACAGCAAGAATAAGTTGTCACTTGAGCTGAAACTTGATGAATTTATCTTGGTGAAGAATTTTCCTATAATTAGGTCAGTTTTCCTAAAAGGAAACACTGTGAAAGGTGTGTTTTTCAGGAGATAATGGAGACCCATTTGGATGGATCGAAAATTTTGCATAGGGAACTGATGGTTGACTAGGTCCCAAAACTTTTACTAAGTTACAGTAAAATATGTTTAACCATGAATGCCAAAGGAATTTGAAGTCTTTATTGAGGGTTATGGGAAACCATTGAGGTTTTTTAACTGAGGAGTACTGCTTCTAAAAATATCTCGAGAGTAGGGGGTACCATGTATTGAAATGGAGAAACCAGGAGTGAGGTGGAGAAGATTTGGAGTTTAAAAAAACATATTATCTGCCTGGCCGGTATGGCTCTATGGTTGAGTGTCAACCGATGAGCCAGGAGGTCACGGTTGGATTCCCAGTCAAGGTACATGCTCAGGTTTCAGGTTCGATTCCCAGTAGGAGGCAGGCAGGATGCAGGTGATAAATGATTCTCTCCAATCATTGATGCTCTCCCTTCCTCTCTGATACCAATTTTTTTTTAAATTATAT